TTCAGCAGTGCTCGCACGCTGGCAACGAAAGCGTGCAATGCCGAATCGGAGATGCTGAAACAGACAGAGGAAACTACTTTCCACAAAGGCGCTCCTTGATTTTCGAGGGAAGATGTCCTCTTTTGAAATAAGGGTAAACAAAGCTGTGAGTTTAGACGAATGGAAAAAACTCATGCGGTGCTTGGACTGCACTTCTAAGTGTCGTAGGCATTCCTTCTTTTCGTTTTAGCTTCTTGCACAGTTATGTCTTCTTTCTGTATGATCCAACGAACCAGACAAATCCTAATGCTGTCCATGTGTCTTCGTCTCGTGATATTGTTAATTATTACAATGCCGATTTCTTTGTGCTCCGCAAGAAAAAAAAAAAAAACACCCAGGGGATATTAAACACTCCAAGGAGGCCTAAAATAAATGTGGCTTGCGTTCTTTGCAGCTAAATCTAAAAAGTGTGAAGTCTCAAGCATGACCAGATGGCAATGTGGGAAAGAATAAGGGAGGGGGGAGGGGCCCTCCTTATTTTTTTTTACTCGGGCCCAGGGTTGCCACTGACCTTAGAGTGAAATTCACCAAAGGATAAGCGAAATGTCACCAAAGTCGCCATTTTTCTCCAATTTTCGCCGGAAAAGTCGCCGCTGTACTTATTTGTGGCGTGCCTCGCGATAAAAATTCCAAATTGTGTATAGCCATGAGCAGTGTGGTATCATTCATAAATCGTAAATTACACAGATGTTTTGAATGCCAGTCACATCTCTTGCTTTATCATGGGAGCACTGCAAAAGGGCATGCATGCACTATCAGCATCCCTGAATGCTAGCGCTTAATAAGAAAATCTTGTGGTGGTTTCAGTTGTAGCGAGTACAGGATGAAGAAGCCGCTACAACAACAGAGGGACACCGTGTGTAGCCCTCCATCAGATTTACAGAATTACCCTGCAGTGCAATCATGAGTCCGATAATCGAAGAACATAATTACAAAGCAACAGAAATAATTCAAAAATACGGTGTAACCATCCCAATGCCTGCACCGGACCACCAGAAAAGTTAAACTCAACATACCAAATAAGGTGGTACTACAACCACGAAGAAGCCGACAAGCTATTCGCGACAGTTGGAGCTGATGTCGGTACATGTGACCTAACTATCACCTAGCCTCTCCCGATGCGAAACTTTGAAGACGTTTACAGCTCTTGAAGACCCAGAAAACGTAGTATGACATCATGGTCTCGTGGCCCGTGAAGCAGTCTACTGACCTAAATTGCTGGGAGGTTGCTGGTGGGCGCACGAATGCGCCAGTGCCTCCAGGATCTAAGTGAATTAAGGAGATACACACGAGAAACAAGACAGACATACTAAATTATGCATATAGGGCACCTTTTACTGGTGGGTGTAAAACTAGAAAAAATAGAAAAATGTTGTTGCCTATTCGTTTTGAAGACGCTTAGTATAGAATGCATAACTCGGTCGAGACATATGCCAAAAATCGCCAAACATTTGCCATGTCGCGATTCGTAGCTTAAGGTTGCCACAGGTCTCTATAATTCGCCAATTTGGCATAATGTAGCCACTAGTGGCAACCCTGACCAAGCCCTCCGCACTGTTAATCTGGCCCTGCTGGTTATTCTTGAGTGTGGGTGAGTCCGGCTGGGACCTTGTGCTCAGCAAGGGCTTGCAATGGTGACCTTTCTCCTTGTACTTTCCATGTGTTACTCTGTCCGGCTCCAGCTTCGCTGCAGCAAGTTTCTCTCCTCATGTTGCACCTGGGTCGTGAGCCTGAGGTGATTCGGACAAATTCCCAAAGTTGATGTTGCTCACAGGGAAGTCATACATTTTATTGCACGTACGCCTGAAAAGAATGGTGAAAAAATTCCCACCCTTGCCTTTGGAACTGCAATGTTTCTTCCGTCCACCAAGAACAATGCCACCATGGTTCTCTTAAATGTTTTGTCTGGCACGAGGGAAGGCCGCACAATCGTCGTATTATCTCTGTATCTCATAACACTAAGACAATCTTGCTGAATAAGATGCCCTGCAACACTGGCTTTGTTGCCTTTGGTTCCGTATGCACTAGCCATGCTCTCTTTGCTCTTGTGATTAACCACCTTGACTTTCTTATAGCTCTCCTTTTGCGACCATATACACGACGTTTTCCGGGTGGTGCCGGCTTTCTTGGTCCAAGCTTGGGTGTTGTGCCCAGGTTTAGGACGATATCTACCGAATGATTGCCTCTTCCGAAATCTGCATTCTGCAGCTATGTAGTCTGTCTTGTCACACACAAAACATCAAGTTAGCACCTTTGACGTAGTTTTTCCGCCTTTTCCTGCTAGAGTATTTTTGGCTTTGCCACAAAAACCAGCAAGTTTGATTGTCGCTAATCTTCTAGGAAGTTGTCAGCTGCTTCCGCGATCTCTTGAGGCTTGCGGCAGTTCTTCTGTCGCAGCGGTTATTTGTAAACTGCTCAGCAACTATGAGACTCTGAATGGATGAGTATTTTTCATTACGGACATGTCAACCCATCCGTTGAAGAAGCTGGTTAGCCTAGTCGTGTACTGCACGCGCGTTTCACCATCTTATGGTTTGCTTTGCCGGAATTTTTACGGTAGCCCTCCACAGTATTAAAAGCCAGTAAACAGGCTCCAACTTCTTTTTTTTTTTTTTTTCACACCAAAACAAGCTAGCCCATTCGTACAGTAGACCGCAGCGATCACATTTTCTCAGTTAAAGCTCTGCGTGCCGTGCAGACCCTCCATTTCGAAAAACAATTCCCAGGTCTATTTTTTTCTCCTGACCAGTCCCCCTCATACATGCAGTGACGCAAGCTTTCCCATGGACAACTTTACATACTACGGAGTTCGTCGATTGATCCTTTACAAAGCGGCACCGCGGTCCTGCAGTGATGCAGTTTTGACTGCGCAGTTCACATTTTCATTTTCTTGTGCAACCCTCTGTCGTTTTAGAGAGCCCGAGACTACCGTGGGAAGCGGTATTGCCAGGACAAAAGCCTCCGAGATAGAGGCATCTACCCACTTTACTGCTATAGGGAGGAGTGCTCCTTGAATCGTGCTACTGCTATGACACATGCTTCTATCATCAGGGATGCCCTGCTTGGTTGTTGGCTGCGTGCCAATGACCTGCATATCACTGATGTCGTTTCACATTGCCAAAGTGGGCGGATTCACGACGGCGGGCTACGCCTTTGCCCTCCCTATGGGGAAGAAGGGTGGCGAGGCGGGCAAAAATTTGAATCGAGCTGAAACTGATGTTCTCACCCCCGTAACTTTTTTTAATAGAGCCCATACTCACTAAATTTTTGCGGTAGCGTGTTCACATAGCCACAGTGCACATATTTTTCTTCATAACAGTTTTCGGACCTTGGGGTTGCTCAACGGCCCTTTAACGGAATTATTGCAGTAGCGCCATTTTGGTTCATCATAATCGGGTGCCTTTTCTAGAGATAGACGACCAAAGACTTCGAGCGCTGCTCCACTCAAATACTACCTTAGGTCCATGGCCCACTTGTCATTTGAGCAATCTTGACCAGTAGCAATGTTCTCATACCTCTTTAGATTCTTGTCTAAGTCATCCTCGTTCTCCATAAATCCCAGCGTGAAATTGTGGGGATTCACATTAGACGACGGGCAATCTTGTTGGCCTTGGTCAGCCACTACTGAATCTCAAATGCCTTGAGCCTGAGCAAGTTGAGGACGCAACTGTGTAGTCTTCCAACCTTCTACCTCAAGTTTGCGTTCTAACTTCATCTGCTCCATCTTCTCCATCTTTGCTTCGCGTTCCGCAGCTCTATCTTCTGGAGCACGAGCCTTCCGTTCACCTACCTACGCCTTTAACTCTGCTCCTTCAAGCCCCATGCGCAGCACCAGTGTTGTGAAATGCAAGCTCATCTTTGATCTGTTTTTTCTTCTACTCTTAGTGAAATGCAATCTGTGAACTCGTGCAAGTAATGCAATGAACAACTTTGTCCTGCCACCTTGAATGCCATTGCAACAAGCTCTATGGAAATGGAAAGACAGAGCTCTAAATGAGGCACTCGTGCTTGTATGAAAAAAATCATGATGGCTTAACTGTCATCGTAGCGTTAATGAGGCCATTCATGCATTCACAGAAATAATGTACTTACAAAAGATGATAGAAATGTAATAATAACTAGATTAAAATGGAACGTGTGCTTGGAACTCTAAAGAGTCCTAAAGAGCCGAACAAAACAAAGAGCGAGTTCACTGGAGGGTTCACTGGTCAAGTCCCGGGGGAAGCCTCTGTGCTTGGAGAGAACTGCCGATGCTGGGGTAACACAGCGGGTGCGCTGCAAGCTGTGATCAAAAACGCGGTTCGCTGCCGACGTCATTGGCCTTGAACACTCATAGCTCCTTCCACACGGATCATGAACACTGGCTGATGCTTGCTGCGGTAGACACCAGACTCCCTTGGTGGGAAAATCCTGGTGACATTTCAACCACGCCAGAGCTGAGGTTCCTGAATGGCTTTCTTGGCCCCAGGTGGGACCGTAGTAGAGCCTCGCGTCCACAATTCGACAGGTCACTGCTCCCGTGCTCTGTTTCTTCAATATTCAGCTATGTATGCCTAGCTTCTTCTCCTGCTTCAGTCTCTCACCACCGCATGCCCTGATTCCACTGCGCCGTCTCTGTGGCGCTTTTCAAACAACGTTTACGGCACTTTACTTGACACTTCATGCACAGCCACTTATTGCAGATATCTTATGTTCACTATGTATTGAAAATGCAGGTGGCATTTCAGCACCATGGCTCATAAATTTGTAAAAATATTCGCTTTGTGAGTTCAGGCAAGTGTACCATCAGTCAATGTCCCAGTGATATGCAGCTTCTGACAAGGCGTGGTTTAGCTTGTATATGCAAGCGTAACGTATGCCTCTACTTTCTTGTGACGGGCCCGAGAAACAATAGTCTAATTACTTTCACTCGCACAACAGAAAGGTACAGCTCTGTTTTCTCTGCCTATTGTGCTGTGCAGGGCTTCACGTATGTGGCCCCCTCTGTGCTAGAGGAGCTCCATCGGCCCATGGTGATCAAGGCACGCTCACCACGCAAGATCACCAACAGTCCTCGGACCCCTTTCAGGTGGGCACATCAACCGCACAGTCCACAGTGCCATCGTCTGTACATGCGCTCTCGCCAGGTGGGAAGATGGAGTTTTGCATTCAGCTACCCCACTTCCCTCTTGAGAGTTCCCTCTTCAATCATGTGTCGCAGCGAGACTGTCACATTTAATCATTTGATTGAATATTTGATGTTCATCAGTATTCAGTTGAGTAATGTGATACAACTTCATTTGAACTTCTTTGTTTTTAAATAATCGTAACTAATGAATGTGTGCATTAGTCCACATACTATAGGCAATGCGAAAGACCAAGTTCATGGCAGTGTGGAATACACTGCTGTGAAGCCACCTTTACAGGCGCTACTCTCATGGCTGCAAAGCCTCGCTGCAAGAGAGTAATTACATATTACTTGCATTTTGTAATAATTTTTTAAGCATGGAATTGTTCTATGTCCAGCTTCAAGAAATTACTGACATCATTTTTGCCATAGAAATAATGCTCAGTAAAACAGTGCACCAGTTTTCTAAAATGCGCGTGACTTCTGTCCTAAAGTGCTTTCAGTTTGTACTTCCCATTATTTCCTCGCTAAGGGATGAGCCAACAGATTTGGGTGCACGTTAAAGAACCCCAGGTGGTCTGAATTTCCGGAGCCCTCCACTACGGCGTCTCTCATAATCATATAGTGGTTTTGGGACGTTAAACCCCACATATCAATCAATCAATCAAGGGATGAGCCAAGTTCAGTCGTAAATGGTCACCAATACATGTTGCATCATGCACATAGAAGCACTGGTTGAAGCAGCTTTACTGCCTGTAGATTCCAAAAAGATGCTTTCGATTTGCTGCCCTATTTAGCAGCAGATTTTGAGTAAATTTATCCACTTGTATAAACATACAACAAAGCCGCAGCTTCACTTATTTCACTTTGAGTTGTGATTTCACAGCAGTGGTGTTCCACTCAGCCATTAAACCAAGTTGCTGCGAAACCAGACTTCAAAGTCAGTGCATATTACCTACAGCTAATTTTCTTTGAAGCCCAAAAGTGTCTATTTATTTGAAGTATTTCAACTTGCACCAGGCTGTGGCCCTATTAAAAGAAATTGGGTGCTAGGGGGGAGTATTTATACCAGGAAACAATAATCATCTGGCTTGCTTGATTTTCCTTTCTGAAAACTCTGCCCTAGCCAGTTCCCCATTTTGAATGCTGTGTCATGCTGATAGTGTGCATGCAGTTTGCGACTGGAAATTGCGAGGAGTGCAGAGAAAGGACAAGAAAACCATGCGAGAGAGATTGCAATGCTAGTTAAATACTCTCCAAATACTCCCGAAATACCTAAATACTTCCCAAATGCTCAAATTTATGTTAAAATAGTTCTCATCTTTTGTAGAGTGTAATTTACTTTAGTTTGTCACTGTCTACCATTTGCAAGTAAAGCACTACATATTTACACAAACTTAGCATAATTGGTATCGAATGGTATCAAACGGAACAATCTGAACGTTAGCCACTATCGCAGAAAAAGAAATGGGATTGCTGTGGATAGAGCTGTCGTATTTTTCGTCTTACCACCATGGGTGACTCCTGAGGTTAGGGGGATATGCTACTCGAAGACCTTTTTCTGTAATATTCATGCTAGAGCCATGAAACTTCTGCTGTTTATGGATCATCGTGTGCTGATTTCAAATATATTAGCTTTCTTGCAAGTTCATACTTTTACTTCTGGAACATGACAAAGTGAAAACATTAAGCCTTCCCCCCCCCCCCCCCCCTTTTTTCATCACTAAACTTTTTTGTAATTTTTTATTATTGATCGATCATAATGTTTCAAATAAAGTGTAGAATGTAAGAAAAACTGATTGGGAAGTGCATACAAAATGTGCAGTGGTTGTGAAAAATTCTAACGTGGCAAGCCCATATTTCTCCTATCATAGTTAAAGTTACGGAGAGTTTTTTTTGTTATATAATAAAAGTATTGAAATATAAACAACATAATTGCATTTTGTGTAATTTGGAAAAAAATTGGGCAAAATTTCATGCACATCCGAGCACCAGAAATAGCCAAGAAAAGAGGGTTACATTGAGAGAAAAAAAAAGGCAAAATTTGTATTTTCAGAAAAGGGAGTTTGAAACTTAAAATAGAATGTTTATTTTTGAATGTCATTAAATGCAATGAAACTTGAACACCAAAAAGGACAACCCTTCTTTTAGTGGCCACTGCCACTAAAATTCGCCAACACCATAATTTCGTACTTCACGGCTCTTTCGAGCTGACTCCTTGCAGGCATTTCACTCACAGACAGGGCCATGAAACGCTTGCCAAATGTTTTCGCTCCATCTGGCAGAGCCTTGTGCCTACTGCAAGCTAAGCAGAAGTTCAGCAGGATTTCGAAATCTAAACAAAGTCCAGTGTCAAGCAACACAACAGGGCCAATGGTATGGTGGCTGTTGTAGCCTTGTTTGTGTCACGTGCCGTCATACATAACGGCAATGTTGTCCCAGCTAACTTTCCTTACTGTGAGCTTACTTGACCTTGCAAGATTGGCGCAGATGGCATTCATTGCCGCATCCGGCTGATAGCTGTAAATGGCTTGTGATGCATTGGAATTTGCAAGCCAATAATTGACGCAAATTGGGCTAGCTGCTCGTAGCCCATTCCTACAGAGTGTGCCGCCTCAACAGTTTCTGCGTTGACAGCGTAGCTATCGGGTGAGCTACGGCTTTCTTCATCCATAATGGAGATAAGTGCACAAGGAAAGCATTGTTCAGCTCTACGAGACACGGACTTTGCAAGTAGGCTTCACAGCAAACACAGGCGTGCAGCAGGCCAATGGTGGTACCTGATCTGTATCGCGGTATTTTAAAAGCCAGTGGCAGTGCTCGAAAAACTTGCAAAGGCGTGCTTCTTTTTATTACTTGTTGCTCTGGAGCTGTGCGGGAAACCGTTGTTATTTGAAGAGCGAGGCTTGGTGCTTCGCCTCATGCGATGGACAATGGTGAGTGGCGGCGCATTAACAGCAGCAAGGTACGAAGACTGCACACCTTTGGCCTTTTAACAGGCGCCCCGTGCTCTATAGATGCAATTTTAAAACATTTCCAATTGAGTCTCTGAGTAGATTTTTTTTTCTTAAACACAGTACAGGTATAAATATCAACAAAACAAGTGAAAACAAAAAAACATTTGTAGTTTTTTAGAAAACTCGCATTTTTTGACTGGCATCTCCCCTTAATTAGTTATGTCGTCTGTTAGGCTAGTTGGTGCATAGTTTGAAATAGCTTTTAGTTGCTATACAAAACACTAATGATAGAATAAATATGGTTACATACACTCTTGAAATGTCATTATTCCAACACTTAGCTTCAGCTACCATATACTATAGGTTATTTTTCAGTTATTTTAAGGAAGCAGTTAGATAGGGCCCTGCCTGAGTGTATTACAGACACTTTAAGCACTTCTAAAGCCTCAATTTCACCCGGTACATTTACAGTGCTTACAAGGTGCAGTTTTTAGATCCTTGTGCACAAAAACAATTCTTGCTGTTTTATTCTGAACGTTCAAGAACGGCAGCCCAGTAAATGTTCACAGATGGCTCTGATTAGACTTTGTACCCAAGTCATTAGGAAGGCTTCCAATTTGCGTGTTTATAAACTTGTTGCGAGGTTTCCCTTTTTCTGTATTCGCTTCATGGAAGGAAGCCCTGTTAAGCAAATGTTGGCTGAAGCCTAATGGTGCGTCCTGTTGTCATTCCGTACATACACGAGTGCAGAGTTGCCTGATGCTGCCAAGCTGGAGCAAATTATGATGGTTGCTGTTGAGGACTTCGTTGGTGCTGTGAGTGGTAAAGCACGAGTGGTCACCAGCTTTCAACTTGCACAATGGCGCAATGGCTACAATTTGATGAAAATTGCCATTTCGGGCCTCTTAATTATTTTGAGTTTTTTTTTTTTTTCGTGCTTTCACACATAAAAAAAATTGTTCACAATTGTATTTTGCATGCAAAGTTGAATAACTTAAAACAAAAACGTGATGGGACAAAGTTTGACTTCTGCTTACTCCATTACATTGAGGCATAAATACGCCTATGCTTGCTGTGCAGCCCAGTGTCGAAGCGTCCCCAGCCGCATTTTGGCTTCAGCCCCTCGCCATTGGTGACGAGTAGCGGTGGAGGAAGTGGCCGGATGAACGGTGGAGTGGTTCCTTCCTCGCCGGACGAGCAGATGGACACGACTAGCGGACCACCCTTGGCCCCCACGGTGGTCAGTGCACCTCCTCCGCGGTCGCCGGCCATCCCAACGCGGAGCAAGGTGCCGCCTCCACCTCGACCTAAGGCACGTGGTGACAATGCTGTTCCTTCCCTGCCGCGTCGTCTGCTTGGATATCTGGGTGGACCCTTTCGCTGAGGAGTCACTGTTTGCACTCTAGCGGCCCTTGTCACAGCGGCACTCTCTTAGTCATACAAACTAGTGTAGCAAGCACTCTAGCGGCCCTTGTCACAGCGGCACTCTCTTAGTCATACAAACTAGTGTAGCAAGTGTAAACAAGGCGCGCAGCTAGAACAATTACAGAGGCGAGTTACGCAACGTCACTGCTATCTTGGCCTTAGTGCTGCGGTGCACATCTGCAAATAGCATGCTCATTGGCGGAACACAAAAACAAGGATGCATAGTGCCTGTGTGACTTGTTTGTACAGCTGTCGCACTTGCCTTTGTCTTTGCCTCTACTGCAGTGTTAATTCTGCCGTGTCTTCTCATTGACGTGCTATTGTGCTATGGCAGCTGGTATTGAGCGTTACAGTATGTGGACTTCGTTGAATGAAAATGGTTGAACAGCATTGCTTTTTCCAGTTACTTGATATACATAGTACATGATGTTCAATCAAACTTAACCTGCTAAATGTTTAAAGGAAAAGTTATTATACATTATTGTTTCACTAGGGGTTGAATATTCTATTATAACATTGAGTTGGCATCTAACTTCCTTACAGACAGGGAAACATTTGTGAATTAGTGTCATAATTGAGACTCACATGGCACTGCACATTCATATTTTATCGGGACACATCATTCTCAGTAAAATATCCAGTATGCCTTTGCAATACTCGTTCAGTTGACAGACACCAAATGGTTAAATGGCCTTTGTAACCAACCCCGGCATTGTGCACCATTTTTTAAAGTAAACTAAAGCAGCCCTAGAAGTATCGATGTGGCGGGGGCACACACTTGGGCAGCTCTCTTGAGCCGCTGTGTTGGCCAAAGGGTGCACTTTGCAACATCGTTGTGTTGGTGCAGTTGCTCTTCTTCACTGTTGCAGCACTGTACAGCCAGCAGGCAGCAGATGTGGTAGATTTCTCGGGTACTTCATCCAATTGATGCTGTATGCTTGCTTACCCAGCACATTCTGTCACTGCATCGTGCAATTACTAGTGCAACTGGCCATTTCAGGAGCCACGAGTGTCGTTGATCACAGGGCTACGATTCTGCAGGCGTTCTGTAATAGTACATTTGTCCTTGTGGTGCATGATTGTGGCGTTTGTGATTTTGAGATCACAAATGCTATTATTGTGTCGTGAGGACGAATGTTTGTGAAGTTTACTAGAGCCTCAGCCAATCACGTGCACAAAGGAAGAACATTTTATTGCAAAATGCGTATGAGGTCACGCCCCAATTTTCATGGTGTGTGTTAAACGGACAGTAAAGTTAAATGATAATTTGTGTCAGAGTGAAAGTTCTATGTTTGAGAACATCTAAAACATCTATACAGAAGACTCCCTTTAAGAGGAACTCCAAGGAACCACGATCATTTGTTCGTCTTATCAGGAGTTCGTCTCATTAGAACTGGCCCCAAAAACGAAATGCTGACATGTCAAGTACACCCAAATATGTTGCTTGAAAACACTGAATGAAATGTACTTAAAATAAAGGAACAAGAAAAAGTATTTAACTGGCTCTGCTTGATAGAATTATGCTTTCAAGTAGAGTATTTAGACTAATCTAACGAGTACTTGATTTCGTTTGTCCATAATAAATTGCTACCACTACCACAGTTTAACAATAAAACTGTAGTGCGATCCTATTTTGACTATTAGGAAAAGATGAAAAGGAAGAGACAAGCACAATTTTCTTTCAAAGAATGGAAATTTACCCTTCTGGCCGTTCACCTTCTGAGAGGCTTCTTTACTGGCTCTGCTATTACTTTTGGATTCGCTGTCATTGTATAACACTACATTGACAAATCCGCTTTGCGCCAAGTTGCTTATAAGTGTCTGCAAGCTTTTCTTTGAGGTTCGGATATTTTTTTATTTTGAGCCCGCAGTAACTTTTCCTGAATGACATGCAGCTGAAAGTCTCCGTTTACGCTACTCACAATCTCGCAAGCCTTGGGCACAGAAAAAAAACAACACAGCTTAGTGTGCAAAATGACCTTCTTTTGCCATGCACTTTCACTTTGAAAATGATGCATCACAATTTGCTGCATTTCACTTCAGACAGATACAACACACATAGGTCTTATGCAAAGCAACACAAACTGACCACAACATGTGCTCAGGCGCCATTGTGTGACGGCGATGACAATGCATCTGACTCCCCTGATAGGAGTGCTAGTGCTGCATATGTGGTTTTCGTTTATGTGATTATGATGTACAGACAATCTGTTCCCGTTTTCACTTCCATTTGGCTTTTCTCGCCCTCTTCTCTTGCATTCCGCTCTAGCCAAGCTCTTTTGTTCTTCTGTTTTCTACTGTACTCCTGTTGGGGAACTGAAGAACACGCGGAGAATACAAAAAGGACAAACACATTTTGTTGCTTTCTTTGCTCATAAAGCGGGCCTTTTCTCCACCTACAGGCTAGGGGTTGAAGGAGATACCAGCTTTATGTGCTGACCTTGCTTTTTCATTTATCTTGCTTTCTCCCTTCACATCGCAGTTTGTTTTCATTTGTTTTGAGTCTTTGCTCCAGTAAGCTTTTCTTCTTTTTTACTTTCGCTTTTTCTTGGTCGCCTGAATGTCACCATCTAGACTTTCATGTTCGTTGTGCAGAATCCCCGTCGTTGTTGGTCATTGTGCGAGTTAGTCTTAACAGAAGAGGCCTGTTATGCACTTTGTTTTAAGCAGATTTTTTTTGCATTAAGTCTATAGGAAATCAAACAAACACTCCCATGATCGTCTTAAGCGAAAATTCATCTTAACAAAGTTCCTATTAACGGGAGTTCACCTGTATTATCAACAGCAGTGCTTTACTAATCGAGATATTAAGGTAAAGGTACGACAGCATTTGTGCCACGAGTGGGGAATTTCAAAATTAGCCCAATCACCTCAAGAGTCCCAAATATAACTAATCACTAGTAGTCAAAGCAGCTGAAATAACTGTTCTTGCATTACAACATGTAATAAAATGCTGCTTGTCTGTTTCTCTTTGATTGATGGAAACAGGAACTGCATGGCAATATCATGGGGAATGGTGTGAGGGTTTCAGAACTTTCATTGTCATGTGGTTAGGCTGGATAGGGGGCGCTATCTAACGGGGCTCAGTTAAATTAAGCTTGCATGAAATTTCTATTGTAGTAGCATTGTGCATTCAACTTCTAGTGTGAATGCTTTGCAGCGGCGTAAATACAAACGTGTCCATGTCTGTGGTCGCATAAAGTGTCGCAAGAAGTCGACACCATCATCTGGTAACCCTGCATTCCTACAATCTTTTGCGTATGCCGGGATACTGCACACGCTGAAAACCTTTGTCATGATTTTGGCGCAGCGGTGATTTCATCTTATCTAAGTGAAATATAGTTTAAAAGTACAGTTATCATTACCATTTAGTGGTTTGTGCAAGAATAAAGGTATACGTTTATGTACATATGTAGACATTTACGTATGGGGCGCTAAAACTTTGCTAAAGCTTGCATTCTGGTAACACAGTAAATGCATTCTGGTAGTATGGTAACATGGTAACCTTATAAAGTAAACATACTAGCTAAAAGCCCCAAACGTCACCTTTATGTGATGTTGCTGGATCCCTGAATGGTGTATGTCACTTGAGCTGCAGCAAAGAAATGAAATCGATGTGACTTTTCACTGGGGGCCTCAAAACGAACCCTTACGTTTGAAGCGACATAGTGCCATCCTCTTCTCAACTGTCGCAAGCCAATGTTTTGTCAAGTTTACCAATGACATCCATCGCAGCAAGCTTCAATGACCGTTCAATGTCCTGCTACTTTCGCTGCGCTGCTACTCGTGTCGGCAGTCACGCATTACAAACAGGCAACGTTGGCCAAGGCAACTATCATATCAGTAGGCCCGGTCTGAGGCGGGTGATTGGAAGTGTGCCAATGCCATGTGGACCACTAAAATGTAATTTTATTTGAAAACAAGCATTTACTTGGGACGAAAGCAGCACTAAGAGGTTTCTGGACTGCTATTTCAACAACGAACGTAGGCCTAATATTTGATTTTAGTGTCCCTTTAACATCCAATGAAGCCTCGAGGTCTCCAGTACTTAGGTAGTACATAGTACTTTGCAGTGCCACCGTAGTTCACTTTCTGCCACTCTTTGAAAGGGATGCATTACAGTGTGCTTGTACAAAACACGTAGCTCATAGATGGAGTGGGAATGATGACTTGAGGACTAATGCGTGTGATCTTTGCTTTGTTGGTCACAAGTCCTTGTTCAGTCTGCTCCCTCGAATCGCGTGTCTCGCATGAACACGCGTTGCTATATATATCAAAAGGTGCCATTAGAAAGCTATCGCTATGCTTTGAATGCCTTGGTAATTCCACAGGCTGTCACAACTAATCTTTCTTTGTCACATTTTACATAGCATCTCCTGCATCAGTTGATCCATCTCTGGCATTACACATTTCTTTTTCTTTGCTGTGTATGTAATGTTAGGTTACAGCATTTTGGCTCTACTTAGTTGCATTGATATCCCATTCTCTTGGCATCTGCGCGTCCTTGTGGATTGCTGAACAGAACATGACATGAGAACAAACAGAGCAATGTAGCTTCTTTTATTTGGGGTTTTTCTTACTATTGTAACTGAGTGAACACGGTAGGAGCTGACAACTCTGCACTGCTATTCTAGCAAGTTTTCGTGGATGCTATTGCGTGATGTGAGCTCTGTCTGCTGTGAAAGGAAGAATGAGTCGAAACTTTGACATCTTTTATCATTGTGGTTTTCGATTCTTTTCTTGTTTCTGCTGGAGTTCATTGTTTCTCCTCTGAAACATCAACATACGACTAGCATGCACACAAAAACGTGAACTTTTGGCTGCAAGATTGTGTGTCTTAATTATCAAGCTATGGAAGTTTGTGGGTGCGCTTGTTCCTGTTTGGGT